TGATATATATACTGAGGTGTCAGAACTCCTCATTAAGAGTACAGAGGTGGTCTTCAAAGCCCTTCTTTGTCGGGGAGCGAGTTGAGAGAAGCTGCTTGAAGTATAGAGTTTCCATATTGTGCTAAGGCCATCAAAAATAGCCAAGAAATGTTCTAACTTAAGGCAGTTTTCATTAAAGAAATGGCCTTCACCTCACAATTTCCCTCAAAGTCACTCTTAAAATGCAGCTGCTGTGCACCTTGGGGAGACCCTCATGACACTCCTTTAAATTGAAGTGCAGAGGGCTCAGCTACCTGTGGTGGTGTGGTAGGTGCAGAGACTAAAATGCTCAGTCCTCTGTGGAGGGAGAGGACAGTGATGGAAATGTTTTAGATGGAAATTAAGAGAGTGCAGCTTCCTCACATGGCCCCAGCGGTCCATCAGTGGTGGTGGGGGGAGAGCCTGTTTGGTATTACTGTCTTGCAGGAGTGCTCTATCTTTGCTCCGTGAGTTAAAAGGGGAGATAGAATTAGACTGCAGAATTAAATCTTATTAGCCCCTGTCCCACTGGCAATCACCTTTTGCACCATCTTCAGTGAGTGTTTGAGAGAGTCTGTGTGTGTGAGCAAGGAAGAGGGTAAGGTGGGAAGAAATTCAACAGGTTATTACTGACATTATATTTGAAATGAGCACAGAGGTGTGTGTGTGTGTGTGTGTGTGCGCGCGCATCCTTGTGGTCTTAGAATTTACAATCCAAGTGCTACTTTGCTAGTTTAGATGCACTGTTAACTTCAGATTCAGCTGTTAAACTCCCCGTAAAGAACATCACCTCTGCATGTACATCATAAACTGACCTTAAAATAGGGAAATAAAACAGAAACCAGGTGATGAGACCTACATTTCAGCCTAATCGTTTAATTCAGTGCGGTAATCTGACTCATTGCAGAATTAATATCAGCGCTCATGGTTATTCATCAGTACATATTAATGGCATCCAATCCAAGATATATAATTTTTTTGCACCCTGCTTTCATGTCTCCTTATATAATAGCTTTTATTCCAGCACTCCTGACAGGGGGCCTTTGGGGCTGAGAAGCAAACTACCTGCCAGTGAATTCATGGTGCATCTTCTGTTCTTCTCAGCACTGTCAGATTTGACTTTGTTCAGTGTTAAGGGGGGAAGAGAATCTTCATGAATGTGAAATGGTGTGACCTTTTTGAGAGCTGGGAAAACCCCCCAAAACATTTCACCTCATCATGCGGATTATTTTCTCCATTTCCTAAAAAGTGTACATTTGCTGCATGTAGAGTGCTATCAAGAATGTTTCAGGTAACCCAGACAAACCACTACAACCATGTTGGGGCATTTTTCATACTGCATTAGAACATGGCCAGTTATCATATGAAAATGTTGCTGTTTCATAAGACTAGATAATTTTGCAAAAAATGAAGGGGGAAAAAAATGGAAATGCATTTGTTTCCACAGTAATGACCATATGCAGTTTTGTCATGTGGTTTGGCTCTGCTGCTTGCACAGAGTATTGTTTACTGTGGTAGGGAGCGTCGGGCACAATGAGCTTTATATATTCAAAAACAAGGCAAGCAGGATGGTGTGATTTATGCAGAGCTGCTTGTATACCTGTACAGCACAGCCTGCAAAGCGGTTCTCTACCAACTGCCTTATAACTGTGTTAATATGACTGTCACAACCAAATTATTTTGAAATAAGTGGCAATGTCATTGAACTGCCGCTACATATATCGTCACAAACAACCAACTGTTAAGCTTAGCTGAACATTAACAAGTTATACAGCAATGTAGTAGCAGGAAAGAAATTTTGTTGTAATGATCCATTCTTTATAGCTGTAGTTCTTCAAAGAAACTGTAATACACAAGGCTGCACAGATGTCAAAATGTTTGAGGGACGAGGAAGGTATCAGCAGAACCAGTTACTTCCTGTTTTGGCAGCAGTGTTGTTGCTCACTGTTTTAGCACTGCAACCGGAATAAATGCTGTGTATCGCCTTTTGTCTTTCATGAACTTCGCAACCTTGAGCTCCAGTCTCTAAGTAATTATTTAGCCAGAATGCCACAACAGTGTATTTACACAATAACAGGATTATTATTTGTTTCTGCATGGAGATTTTGCAGACACCAATAAAGGTTTTAGTAAGAGGAAAATCACCACCGTTCTAAAAGCAAAAGATTAAACCTGTTTTGTTCAGTATGATTTTGTTCACTCAAACCTACTTTTAATTTTTATTTGTGAAATAGACTGAAATAACCGCAAAAGATAGAAGTTTGCTGGAAAAGGGGGGGGCAAAATAGGAAGAACCCCGAAGCGCAAAATGACTCCCTGGTATCTTTTTGGTTTTAAAGAGCATCATTTTCTCCATTTAAACTGTTTTGGTCAGTTTTCTGTACTTTTTTTTTTTTTTTTAATACAGATTGAAAGCTCAGATTAGATTTGGTATTCCCTCGCAGTGTCAGAAGCAATCATACACTCTGCTCTCCCACTGATAGAATTGCCTCCCTTGTGATAAAAGCCTGCTTCCTCTCTGTCCCTCTCCAATTTCCTCCATCTCTGTATAGATGTCTTTCCTTTCCAGACACCCCCAGCCCCAATGCTCCCACCTCATCACACACACACACACACACACACACACACACACACACACACACACACCCACCAGTGATGGATACAGTCCACTAATGAGGAAGAGCTCATCAAGGCATCTGCATGAGAGTTGTTGATGGGTTTAAAGAGATTATCTCTCAACTGTTAATACAAATCTAATGGGGCAATCTTTGATTTCCAGCAGGCTGATCATGAAAAGTAGTTTGTTTCCCAGCTGTAAGAGAGAGTGCACAATTGTCATTAGAGGTTCATCATGTTAGAAGTTCTACGAGCATAATCACACATGTGCCTTATTTTTATTTTTTTTAAACATTATAGATATTTATTTCAGTATAGTTATTTCAGTTAACAAGAAGGGACGTTTTCACATCAGCCAAGTTTTTCGATTAGTAGTTTAGCAGGTTTGCACTCTTCTAATTGAATCTTTTGTCCAGATTGAGGGAATTCTTTGCTCTGTTATTAACAATTAAAAGGATCAATGCAAGACGACTGCTCGAGTTAGACTATCACTTTATGCCTGCTTGGGGACATTGTATTGCATTAGTGAACTGCTTTAAAAAAAGTGTGCATGTATATATGCACTGTAGCTGCCTGGGAGGTGTTTTACAGCAAAATAAATTAGACGTAATTTTAAATATTAATGAAAGTAAAATGTTACTGGGAGAGTAATGAACAATATTACAGTGCCACCACTGCTATCAGAATGAATACAAAAAAATGGGCTGTTGGACAAACGCGGATTTATTTTAGTCTGAATCATCTGCTGTGGATGATTCATATCTTGCACTTGCCTTTACCTTTGTGTTTCTTGTGAATACTGCTGGTTGTACATCAAAACCTTCAGTAGATGAATTTCCCAGTTCAGGAAATGGTGACGCGTGCACACTTCACTCTTTTTCTAAAGCACAATGAATATCAAGACCTTCACATATATATATAGCTTTTTAAACGTCTTATCTGTGACAGTTAAATCCCAGATACATTTTTTGCACACATGTCCCAAGACAGCTGAGGAATTGATTCTTCAACCATCTCTGGGTATATTGTTGTATCATTGTAGGGTCTTTTCCCCACAGTGCAAAGTGCCTTAAGGCAGCTGCTGTTGTAATTTGGTGCTGTATAAATCAAATTGAATTGAACAATGCTAAAGTGGTCCTGTGGTTGGCAATGTTTCCTCACAGCAGGAAGGTCTTGGGTTCGAACTCAACAACTCATCGCATCAAAAACCATGCTATGGCAATGCTGCCTATCTGGACCCACAAAGCTCTTTTAAAAAGTCTGAATTATTTTTACTTGGTGGTTAAATAAAGGTTAATAATTGAAGGTATTTTTTTGCGGTCAGCCATCATCCAATGAACCTTGTTTCATTTCTGAGAATATTTTCATGAATGCGTATCTCAGACATTTTCCCTACAGCACCTGCTGGTTGTAGTTGTGCTCAGGATGAGCTAATTTTTAGCGTGTTATCTGACTTCATCCTGAGGCCAGCTTTCAGTGTCTCACAGTAAGTCTTCAGTATTCAGCCAGAACATTCTGGCATTTTTTTTTTTTTTCTCCTTTCACTTTTTCAGACATTTGTTTTTAATGTGTGACCATGGAGACACTCGAGGAAACCATGTGATTCACAAATGGGGCTAAATACCTAAAGGTGTGTGTGTGTGTGTGTGTGTGTGTGTGTGTGTGTGTGTGTGTGTGTGTACATACACATATATATCTCCATATATCATAACACGATTGCACAGATGGATTGGATTTCTACTGCTCAGATGTATTGGCTTTTCTATAATTGATTATGTTAGTCTGTACAAACTCAGTGCAGCTGGGACTTGGGGTGTTAGAGCAGCTGTGTATGTGTCTTGTCCTGCGCTTCTGACTTTACCTTCACAGCACCATAAAGACACTGCGAGGAGTTAGTCATCTGAGAACAGCATGCATCGACCCGTGAGCTACCAGCCCTGCAGCACTCCTGCAATGACACTGTAAACTTTTTACACGCTCATCCTCTCTATAAAGTTGAGGTTGTGCTGCAGTGGCCGAGATGCTGAGTCCGTCATTTCTTAATGCAGGGACTCAATAAGAAAGGAGCATATAATGAGCTAATATTTCTTTGTTTTTTATTAAGTAATTAGAAGGCAAACAATAGTTGCCTCTTTTGTTTTATTGCATTGTTATTATAGAGGCTTGCCATAAATTTAAGGTGCGAGAATCAGTATTTTATTTGACTGCATCAGTGTAAATATTATTTATTTTAGTCAATAAAAAATTGGCATTTACTGTGTAGTCAATGGTTAACAAGAAGTAAAAATGTGACGAGGATTTCAAGTATTGCATTACATTACTGAACAGAATCTGCCAACGTGCGCCTGCTGTGTTGCCAGCAGGTGGATGTAGGTGTTTGGGTTCATCAGAGGTCTCCAACTAGCCAACAAAAGCCAAGTGGCAGACCCCTGAGAAGGTTAATCATCTGCTAAAGGAGGGCATCCTGACCTTTTTGTTTTGCACATTAACCCATCCAGCCACATAATACAAAATGAGCTTAATCATTAAATCATTAGCACTTAAACTGAGGCTCTCTTAACTCTGTGGGTCATTTTCTTTTCTTTCAAGTGTAGATATTGAAACTGCCTATATCAGCCTGTCCTCTGTACAGAAATGTCAATTCTGTATTTAATCCATTTTCTTTTTTTTGTTCAACATTAAATGAGCTAATCAGAGTTCTTCAAAACAGTTTGTGTAGACTGAATGGTCGACTGTGCCAAGAATTATAATCTGTTTACAGTATAAACAGAGCTGAGGAATGAGGGCGGTAGCTTGTTGAGAATGGATTGGTTGTTGATAAATAAGGTAGCTTGCTTTTACCTTGTAAGGTTTCATATGTTTAACAGTTTGTTCCAGTTTGTATTATATTAATTTAGACATTTTTTGTTTGTCAAATTACCCACTGCTTAATTTACAGCTCTTCAACAGAAAACAGAAAATGTTAAATTGAAGTTTGAAGCAAGAGGGGTTTTTTTTTTTTTTTTGGTTTTTTTTTTGAGTAATTTTCTTTAACTTGTGCAAAATTTTTGCTGTCTGCATTTAGATCCTCATAGGATGGGTTAAAACTGGAGGCAGTTTATGCAAACACAGAGCATATACAAATATTATACAAAACAGCCTTGTTGTGGCTAGGTTTCAAAACACTGTTCTTCCTGTGGGGCAACAGTGCCATTGAGCCACTGTGGTGATGATTTAGCTTGCGTTCTTATTAAGTAAATGCATAGCATAGTTGCCAAATAAAACTAAAGGTTAATGAGTAACTAGAGACGCCGTGTGCTAGGAAAATAATTAAGGGGGCAAACAATGAGGAGAGAACATGTAATGACTAAATGCGGTTTGGCAGAAACATAGGCCAGCTGTGAAAGCCCATTTTCAGGTGTGTGCGGGGAGCTCGGGTTGGTCTGTCTACTCTGTTGTTGTCTTTATTTTATTTTTTGTTTTTTTTTTTTTAAAGAAACAGTTTGTTATATCCAGCTGCCACTGTGGCCATCTGTGCCCTGTTCTGCCCATTCACCGCAGCGAGTAATTGGACTCCGGCCTCATTAAATAAACAAGTTGCTGAACTATTTTAGGATGATTACTTGTCCTATGAAAGTCTAATTTTTTTTTCAATTTATCTCTGCTCACTGATGCACGAGCAAAATATGGTAATGTCCTACATTGTGATTCTCTTAAATCAAACGCAATCCAAATGAAAATGAAGTGTGGGGTGGTTTGATGTGTCCATAGTTGAACCACAATGATGGCTCCCCCTTGAATGGGATTTTCAAAAATCCACAGGCTCGATGTTCACAGCATCCGAAACTGTTTGCTATCGTCTTATTGCAGCCCCAAACCTCTTTCCCAATTTGTCTCCAGACATTGTTTGGCTCTTTGTAAAACATAATTGTGTCAACAGCCTCTGGAGATGAGATACCAAACCTTTCGATAAGTGCTTTGCCCAAAAGGTAAATTTGGCAGCTGAGGAGGGAGCCAACGTGCAAACAAAGCAGCAGACAGTAATTTTCCACTGTCTGTTACTATGCATATTAATGAGGTTGATGGATTAATGCCTCACTTTAGTAACAGGCCACTAGGTGAGCACTGGTTAAGTCTGTCGTGCTCCAGCGGTGCCCAGCTTATCGCATCAGAAGTTGTGGACCAGATCAGTTTTCCACGTGAATGTCTTTGCTGTAAATGGCCCTTTCTCTCTCAGTGGAAAGCAGTTAAAACCCCACAGAAACAGTGTGATCCTGAGATAAATTGTTAAACACAAGCTCTTAAGATTTGTTGCTGATTGCCTGATGATGATGATTAAGCTGCAGGGTAGACATTTAACAGGACTGGAATGGATTTCCTTTGGTTAAGTGTGGGTGAGTGTATGTGTGCGCATACATTTGTAACAGTTGAGATGTTTTCAGGGGAATTGACCTTTTTGTCCCTGCTCGAGTATGTGTGTGCATGCAAGGTGTTTTTGTCCAAAAACTAATCACAGGCCAGATTGGCGTTCTTTTGTTTTTCCTTTTTTTGTAGGGAGGTTGGCATAACTTTGCAAATTTCCTAAAAATCTGATGACAAGATGCCTTAAAGTGAAATAATTATGACCTATGGAAATAAAAATTTCAGACACATATATTTAATTAAAAGGTTTCCCAAGTTGGATAACAGTGACTTTTTCTTTTGTTTTTAACCTTGTTTATCTTCTTTGACCATCATTGCAATGAGTTTCAATTATTCCATTCAGCCAGTCTTTTCACTGATGTTGGTGTTATTTAAGGTTGCTTAATGAATCCTGCCACTCTTTGCCCATGTCTTTGATCAGTGTCCAGCCTCCCAGGCTCTTATCTTGGCAAACACAATGGATACGCTACCTGCTTTCATTCTTTTATTCAGAAAAGGGTTGGTTGGCTCGGCTAATGCCTTTTGGTTGTCAGTGTTCTCTCCCCTTTTATATCCAGACTTGTTCTTTAATGATTTTTGCACACAGAGACTTGTGGTTTTGGTAGTCCCACCTCTGAGCTAAATATCACTGTAAAGTGTGTCCTCCCTCTCGCTTATTGCCTCCCTATTGTCCTTTGGTTTTTGTGTGCAGGAGCTTTTTGTGTCAGCCAGGCTGAATTGGCCTGTTTACTGTGATTAAATGGGAGCAGAGGAGGTTGGTGGGCTGAGCCGTATCTGTTTTAGAGTTGAGGAGTGTTGCACTACCTTAGCTCAACACCAATCTCTACTGGGACACACAACACACACAAAAAAATGTGTAAGTATGTTTTAGTTAACGGTTCAGAATATAAAGAAGCCGAATGAGAACCAAAAGCAGGACTCCAGCAGAATGAGCAGTTGTACTGTACAACAAATTCAGTTCCATTGCCAGGATGAGCATGAGGTGGGGAGCAAGGAAACTGCTTAAGGTGGAGCGAGCAGGAAGGAGAGCGTAGCTGGCCCTTGAGCTTATGAGTGGATGTGGAAGAGGGGGCAGGGCTGGCAGGCTTGGTAGCACAAGAAAAAAAACTGAACTAGAAGCTGTCCGTTGTATTTGGAACACATTGGCTAACTGCACAATGTGTGAGATAATCGAGTGAAGAGCCGGAATGTATCCAGCCGGAGGTTGATTAGTGGATCAGTGCAAGAGTGTGCAAGTGGCAGCTGGAGAGAAATCACACAAATGCAGAGCGGGAACAAGCAGGGAAACTGAGGAGAAACATAAGGAAGGGGAAAATCAGCTGCTACTCAATACATTTTTTTGATTGTTTGATTAGTTGGAACATACATGGTATTTTTTTTCCTCCAAAACTCATTGGTAATTTTTGCTCTAACTGATGAGTACATTTGCTTTAATAATTGATCAGAAAGTCAAAACACCAGTAGAGAACTAGTACAAAAGCAAGCTAAACCTCCCCCTTGAGTCAGTTTCTTTTTATTGAAAGATGATTTAAATTGGTAATAGACTATAAAATTGGATTCAGTGTCAATTAATTTATTTTTGGGATGTGTAGATTCTCACCATTAATTCATTTAGTTAGTTTATTTAGTCATCACTCATTAGACTGTATCAACAGTCCATGTAGCACGCAGTGACTAACGGGCTCAGGCAGACACATTGATTATATATGGTTGTTCTCCACTCCTAATGAAGGCTACCCATCAACATTTTTAACACTCAAAACTGGCTTTGGAAATCCTTCTTTGAAAACAAAAAGTCAAACTAAACTTTAAAAAAAAAAAAAGCTTAATTACAGACACCGCCTCATTACCACCACCCGAGAACATTTTACTTTCATTACTAAATATAGCCCTTTTAAAAAAATGTTTAATTGCATTGTTTCTATAACATCCTGAATCGTTTCATAATGCGGGGCTTTGAAAACAAGGATCAGTGTGATAATGGGTTATTATAGTGTTGTTGTTTTTTTTTTTCGTTTTTTTTTTTTAAATATACCTTTTTAAAAAAATTAAGTAAAACAAAGCCACCATGTTTCTTTCCCTCTGAAACTGCTCTGCTATGATGTGAAGTGTTTTTCATTTGCTTAGACAACTTGTTCTCCCAAGTGTGCTGCTGCTCAATATTAATAACCTAGGTTCATACTGTATTAATGGACTGATTACAGAGGAATATGGGTCACGTATAGGATTTCCCAATGAGTAATGTGTAAGTCAAGTTTGTGGTGCCATGAGTGGGGTGGGGTAGGTTTACACAAACAATGCGAGTACATCGTGTCATGCATTGCTGGCAGCCCATTAGCCTAATTAGGTGCCGCAAAATGTGGAGAGAAATGGTTGCAAAGATGGGAGAGATAAGCCAGGCCAAAATGGGTTTATAGATGGACTGTAGTAAATAGAAACATGTTGTTTTTTTTTTTGTTGTTTTTTTTTAAATCATCTGTTATGTTGCATTTTTCTTTAAGAATTTTATGTAACTACGTGTATATGAGCATATGTTTATATTTATGAAATATTTCTATAACTGGTCTGAAGGTCATACCAATACCTGTGCATTATTTTATAAATTAACTGCCAGCTGCGTGTTGCCTGACTTTGCACTGGCTCTGTACACACAGTTGTGATTTTCCTGAAAATATTGATTTATTGGTCGAGAATATGAAAGGATAGAGACTACAGTGATTTCATACTTTATTGAACCTATTATCATATGAAGAGCTGTTATCAGACTACAGAGAGACTTAAATGGCTCTGATGTGATAATGGATCATATCTCCTCATCTCTGCAGGTATTTGGCGATTATTATCACTTTCGGCATCGCACAGTGGTGAAGAGATCACTGTCAGATCACAGGGGGACGCACGTCCGTCTACTAAACGATCCCAAGGTAAGACATTTGTTTTTGGTGCTACAGTCATGCATGCAAAGGAAGTCTGTTGGTTTCTAATGGAATGGTGACTGACTAGGTGTGAAGTGTTGAAACTGCTGCTTTATGCTAGAGCGTTCTTTGTGTGATGGATTTTTGCAGTGTTGGGGTTTATTTTTTGGCATTTTGGAAGAACTTTGTAGTGAATCGGGCTTTAGAATTGTGTTTGACCTAGTAAACCGCACTCTCTGGGCTCCTTTTAAAGCTTATAAATCCTACTTTGGATGTAGTTTCTTTAAAATTTATTTATTTATTTTCAAATATAAAGCCATCTCTTAAAATCATTTGCTGTGGGTTGTCATCTAAAATGTCAGAAATGGGGGAACATAAACTCTTGCTAAGTTCATAAGAACATAAACAGATAAACAAATGCTTTTAAGACAAACACAAATATTACACTAGTTTTATTTCCATACACAAACCTAAATAATGGCACTGGTGCTTTTGTTTTTGTTTTTTAATAAGATTAGTGCCTTGTGTGGGCTCACCAACCATTTTGTTAGGTACACCTCTTAAACTGCTTGTTCATACAAATACCTAATCAGAAAGTCCAATGGCAACAACTCTGTGCATTTAGTCATGTCGGTACGATCAAGACAAAGGTCAAACTGAGCGTCATAATGAGGGAGAAAATTCATTTAAGTGACTTTTGGATCATTGTTGGTGTCAGTCAGGCCAGTCTGACTATTTCAGAAAGGCTGGGATTTTCCCACACAACCGAAAGAGAATCACATCTGCTGGCGTGAACAAACTGTGCTTTGGTGTCAATTTCGGTTGGTTTTGCACATTGATTTTGTCTAACCTCAGAAACGTTTCCAGCAACCTTGTTGAAACGATGCTATGAAGAATTAAAGCAGTTCCGTAGGCAAACCACTGTGTACCAAATAAAGTAGCTGTTCAGTGTACATGGGCTGGGATAATGGGGAAGAAACGTGTTTAACATATTGAACAATTAGGTTGATAAAACAGATGACAACCCCATTATGTTGTGCAGGCAGATTTTCTTGCATTTTATTACCATATGTTCAATATTAAAGTCATTCTGTTTTTATTGTTTGGCATTGTAATAATAATCTAACTTAAAAAAAATGTAAGAGATCTTTATTCTGGTTCTGGTTTGTCAGTCCAAACAATTTCCTCTCCTCCCCCCCCCCCTTTTTTTTTTCTTCCCCTCCCTCATTTACTCAAGGGCTTGGAAGGTGAACATGCACTTCTCTATCGACCTGATTCTTCCTCCTCCTTAACTGATGTAATTTGTAAATTCACATGTCTGTGTTTTCTTGCTTTTTTTGTAGGAGTTTGAGGTTAGTGTGAAAATGAGTCAGTGTCCTACCCCCACTGGAAGGGACAAAGGGAAGGGTGTGAAATTAGCATTCATGGCTGTGGGAAAGCAAGTGAGAAAGAGAATGTTTGAAGGATTGTTTTTAATGCTTCTAAATAAAAGAAAATCGTTCATTTTGAAAATAGACACTTAAAACTAGAGATGGACCAATCCGATTATACGTATCAGTCCCATACTGACCTAAATTACTGGATCGGATATCGGAGAGAAATAAAGAATGTAATCCGATCCGAAGTATCACAAAATCACCTCACAAAACGCGTTACTTGGCGTATCCCAGATTGGTGCATCGGAGCAGTAAGTGTCACGTGATAGAGCGGCTGTTGGCGGTCTGTTGGAGCATTTGGAGCCTTGCTACATGCTTCCTAACCGCGGCAATTCATCTTGGCGAAAACTGTCCCAGAGAAGTAAAGCAAGTGTGTAAGTTCATCCCTGAATGTTTGCATAGTATTTCCACGTTAAGCTTAACAACTGATATATTGAGCCACAGCTGGACTCGCCATTGGAGTTCCATATTGAGGTGAAAAGGAAGCGATTTGTCCCGTACTTCAGCTAGAATTAAGACACAAAGCTGGAGTTATTCTGTCTTTGCTGTGCAGTTGCATCTACTTCTCTCATTCACTCCTCCTTCCTCTCCTGTTATTACTTCAAACATGAAACTGATCAATGATCAGCTGATCGGCTTTTCTGCCGCAAGTCCCGTCTCTTGTTTGTTTATCACCCATTTTGCACCAGAAAGAGGAGACCAGCGGATAAACAACAGCAGCACGTTTAAGCTTGATCAGCTGTTGTTAGAATGTATTTAATATTACTTTCTAGTATCAGCTGATGTTTGCTGGAGCCACAGCTGTAAAAGCTGCTGGTCATGATATTGATTTGGATATGAGAGGGAAACATGAAGATGAAACCAGGAGATGTCCTTACTGAATCATCAGAGCTGAACAGGTGATGGAGAAACAGGTTTACCTTTTAGGTGACATGAATGAGTTGAAGGGAAGTTATGAACTGTTTCTGAGAGACAAATAACACCAGGATCCTTTTCTACATAGCTGACGGCTGGTAACTGTGCAGGGGCGGGTCTAGCAAAGTTTTGTCGGGGGCCAGGTTGGGCATTAACAGGGAAAGGGGGGCACAAAAAATATTTTTCTTTGTTATGTCATTTAAAAACTTTGAATAAATAATTATCTGAATCTTACAACAAAAGTGGTCACCTGATTAAATGTATAGAAATCCATTATTGTATATAGTAACTAATAAGTCTAATATACACCCTAGTAAGCTATAGTACTTTTTCCTGTGTTGAATCTATTTAAATATTGTAGAAAAATAATTGATTTGTGCATTTGTTTTACACTTGCATTAAATTAAAGTTGATTACATCCATTGTTAGCCCTGCGACAAACTGGCGACCGTCCAGGGTGTACCCCGCCTCTCGCCCTATGACAGCTGGGATAGGCTCCAGCGACCCTGAAAAGGATAAGCGGAAGCGAATGGATGGATGGATGGATGGATACATCCATTAAGGGCGGGGGTGGTTCCCTAATATTTTTGCTGGGAGTTGGCAACCCTATTAGTTAGGTTGCTTAATATTTCCACTAAGTACTCTTTAAAATACCAGAATAGGGAGGATGGTGTAGGTTTAAATTTATTAGATTGATCAGTGTTGCTGAACTATAAAATGTTTTGGGTGGAGTGTATTTTTTGCATACAGGTATAACAGAATAGCTTCAATCTCTTGTTTTTTAAAACTTGAGTATGAACTTATACAAAATGCAGCAAGATATTTATAAAAAAACAGTTTTATTGATTACAAATGCGCTATATCGGATTCATATCGATATCTGCAGATATCCAAATTTATGATATCGGTATCGGACATTAAAAAGTGGTATCGTGCCATCTCTACTTAAAACCAAATCAATATAAAAAAAAAAAATAAATACAAAAACTCGTCAAACATGGCAGCTTTGTAGTAAACTTTCTTTTTGTCTGTATCTGCTAACTACTAAAGTTGCTAAATTACTGACCCCATAAGCATAAATGCAAACATCAACTAGTGTACCAATCAATTTGGATTATAGATATATGACATGCCTCAACTTCACATGTAGCTAAAGCAGCAGGTTATTGTGCGACATGCTGGGGTGACCATCCGAAGCCAGTTTCAGTGTCTGACCTGAGGGGTGCATAAAAAGGGAGCCGGAACTGAACCACCAACCCTGTAATTAATGAGCGACCCATTTTACCTCCTGAGATAATCCTTTGATCCATTAATTAAGCAATTATTACAGCTCTAAGCTCAGCTCAGTGGGTTTCCTATAGTATTTTATGTTAATTTTTTGCCCTGTTGTTGTGTAATCTTTGAAGGAGCTGGAAATGACCTTCTGTTTTTGTGACAGGAGAGTTTAGGGTGACTTTCAGACCGAATCACATGCAGGAATCAAGAGTTGAATCATAACTTCCAGCTGATTGCAGTGGATTCTAAATTATGCAGGAAAAAAACTATAATATTATATAGAATATAATATTATACTTGCATATATTTTATTCTATTCATTTAAACGCTGATGGGTTTTTGTTTGTTTGTTTTTTCTCCCTGACACTGGATCACAGTGATCTGTGTGCACTGGGTTTCACTGAAAAAAACTGACTAAAAAAACATGATACATAACTGTGAATAATACTACTTTTATAATCTGGCTCCAGCTTCTCAACACTGTTCCTGTCCTCGTAAGTTGTATGAAAGCAAAGAGGAGCTTTTTTTACAAGTCTCTGGAAACGATATAAATGTATTTGCATTTAAATTGTGTCCTGTCTATTCTGTAAACCTCGAAATTTAATGCCCGTTACCGTAATCTCGACAGGTGCATCTGCAGAATCATTATGTGCATCAAAACTACTCCTGCCTCGGAAGAAAAGAAATGAAATCTGCCTTGAAGTATCTCTGGCCACACACTGCATCTCTGCAGTACAGGTGCACACTGGGAGTAGAACAACTTATGCTGGGTTTGTTTGCGTACATGTTAGAAGTGGTCCACCTCCCTCTCTGGGATTTCCTTTAACGCTGGTGTTCCATTTCCTGTTTTTGAATCCTTTTTTCCCCCACAGCAACTCAGAGAAAGTGGAGCCTTACAGTTTCATGTCCTCCAGTCTAGTTCACGATGGTTAGATTAGTATTCGTGAGTTTATTTTATCAGTAGAGCTTTGCACAATTATCATTAACTTGCAAATGTATTAGCATTGCTACACATTTTAAACTTTCCTGTAATGAATAGTTTGATTAGAGCTTGAAAACCGGCAGGTCGGACTTGCATTTGCATCAGCCCAAGTGTTTTTCCATAAAATATTGCAGAAATGCTTCAAATAAAAGGAATTTTAAATCTTAGCAAGGCCCTCTGCAGCTTTTAAACTGATTGAGATGAAGCCTGAACAAAAGGCTCAGTAAACTCTCTTTGAAGAGCATCTAATTACTTACAAAAGCACCTGGACCTATGCCAGATCTCATAGAATGACGACGGAGCTGAGAGCACTGTTAATAGGGTCTGTTCAAGATTTAAAGCTTGGGTCTATCTACTACCTCCACGACTTCAGCTTTCCCGTTTTATGCCGTCTGTGCTTTTCCTTTTGGTTTGTTTGGGAAGTTTACTTCTATTCAACAAAATAATGAAATGAAGAAAAAGAAGATGCGCGCATACACAGAGCACTGTAAGCTGGATTTGCTGTAATAGGTTTGGCTGGTTGAGGCTTTTTATGTCAAGAATAATAACAGCTCTGTAAACATAAATGACATTGTGACTGAGGTGTGATACGAATGGCACTCTACTGTATTCCTTTACAGGAATGATTCCTCATTTGAGGCTCCAACTTGGTCCCTGTGGGAGGATGCTGTGTTTGTATAATGAAGGGCAAAGCAGTGGTTGGGTAAGATGGGAAGGGTGGGGTGCCTATGTGTTGCAGAGATAGGACTCTCCACCTAAACATGAGCCAAGGCAGTCTGTTTGTAAACATTAGTTGTGCGTTGGCCGGTCTGGGCGTATGAGATAGACAGTTTTTAATTTTCAAAGCCTGCTTTTAATAAAAGTGCCCATTTGACTACTTCATAGATACTTTGTGTTCTGTCACAGACTATTGAAGGTTTTCAAAAGACTCTTTTTAAAAGGTAGAAAGTGGAAATACTTGCTACACTCCAGGAAAAAGTAGGAATCTGTTCAAGTTTGGTTTTGAAAAAGTATATAACTTACACCATTTCTGTTCACTGTTTACTTAAGTATGGAGATGCTCAATTTATAGAAAAGACACGCTATTAAAAATGATTGGTAAATAATGTAAGGTGTCAGCGGGGAGATGCATTTCTAAAACTCTGCATCCTCATTGCGTGCATAGTTTATGGACACGCCTGGGCCACTAATCTCTGCTGTCAGTTCCTTGTGACTAGAACTAAAGTACTCCTCTCTAATACATTAATTAGTGGAAAATTATGTCTTTGTTCAGTTTGATGGACATTTCCAAGAACTGTGTGTGACATTAAGATGACTGACTGCACAAATTAGCTGGAAATAACTGGTGTCACTGAGATGCCTGAAGCTGAAAGGAGCAGGAACTGTAATGACTGCAGGGAAGCTATTCTGCATGTTTGCTGGAAGTCGAGTGTGTATGACTTGGCAGTCATCTATTATGACTAACATAGGAAAGATTAACCCTGTGTAGTTAGTACTGATTTCTAAACTGCATTGGCTGCTGTTTGTATCAGACATAGTGTTTTCTTTTAGTCATGCAAAGATGAAAAAGACCTTAAAAGGATCAGTAATTTTATATTGGTTTTAATGTATAAAGTGTGATAAAGGTGGCATGCCTTCTCTGGCATGCCAGATATTGCTTTTGCATGGTTTTGTGTATGTGAATAGCTTTCAAGGGCACCAAAGGCATACACTTGAACTATGACTTGCATTAATTGATGAGATTAGATCTAGTAGTATACACTCCACACACCATGTTTATAGTGAAAATCCTTTGTTGCAAATTTTAGAATTTCCTGTGTTGCATCAGACTTTGCAAACATTTTCTGTCTTCCAAGAATCTTGATCTGTTTGAACAGAATCATTGTGGAAATGTTGCACAACAACCACCGACCCTGCATAGGTGTGAAACCAAGATTAAGGTGTGATAAAAACATTGCAGAAAACGAAGAAGGGAAAGTCACATAGAACCACGTGATGACGCAGGAGAAAATGTCATACTTTTTTTTTTTTTATATGACTGAAAATTACAAATTGGTCACGATGTACAACTGACTGTAGACATCCTTTTTTGTCAGTTGTGCCCTTTTCCTTAGGAAGCCAATATTAGAGTGACTGAGAGACGTTGCATATCATCAGCTGGCTTTATTTCTCTAAACTGTACTGTTACCTGCCCTTTTCGGAGTAATTAGGGTACTTGTTAAATCTCCTGCCTAGAGATTAGCAGTTTATTTGCTTCTAGACATCTTTTTTTTTTTTTTTTTTTTTTTTTTCTTAAGGCTTCAAACCAACCCAACACTAGACTAACACAAAAAACAAAAGCAAGACAGTTCTCTAACCTAAGGTCAAAAACGGTATAAAACCAAATATCTACTAACTGCTACTAAGTCAAATTACAAGCATTAGCCAGTAGCTCATATCAATAGGCAACTTCTAGTACTTCTTCTCTCTCAGGGCAAAACTAAATGTTGGCTCTTTGTTGTGAGAGAGAGAAGAGATGGTTGTCAGGTGGACTTTACAAAGCTGCTAACTCTACATAGCTTGGATTGAGGAGAGATCAGCATCAAGTGTTAGCAAATAGCACACATGATACAGGCAGGGATGGCTCCTGAATTTTTACATAGGGGTGGCCAAATGGGGGCCACTAAAAAGTACAGTTTGTTTGTTTTGTTTTGTTTTGGTTTTTTTTCTATGTCCAAGTTCTTTGGATGCAACTGGGCAACTCGAGGTTCAGTATCTTGCCTGAGGATACTTTAACATTCAGAACTACCAACCCTCCAGTTTGCAGACAATCCCCTCGACCCCCTGAGCCACAGCTGCCCTGGACATAACATGCTGTGTGACTTTTGCAAAATGAATGGTTCGTTTGATTGGCTTCTTTTTTTTTTTTTTAGATTTGATAGAATTTGATTCAGTGCTGAGAAGCAATATTTAATATACTTTATTATTATGTTGTCTCTGTGTAGAACATGACATTTGCTGTTAAGATATAAATAACAGTCTTGGAGAGAGAGAATCATGGGAACCTTTTAGTCTGAGATGTTGCACCACCTTGATCTCCCTTCAAGAGAATTGAAAATGGAAAGGGAGTAAGCGTAGACATTTATTTTCTGTGTATGGTAACACTTTTTTTTTTTTTTTTTTTTTTTTTTTTTGGTAATAAATATGCGTGCTTATTTTCAGTCTGGTGTAAACTGCCACAGTAACACTTCACCCCCATTGACCCCGGATGAATCTGGATGGTTAACATTTCCGCTTGAATAGATTGACCTCACGTACATACCTTAAGTGAAATACCTCCCTTTTGTCACTTTTTGAACTGGCATTGCTTCAGTGTAGCTGTGGAAGTGACCTTCATTTACTTCTTGCTTCTCTCAGCCTTGTGTCTCTAGTGATCTGTAGAGGCGGGGAGAGGGGTGTGCTGCGATTTAGTCGTCCTTCAAATCAGGTGCTCGTCCTTGCAGCAGGCACTTCTCTGTCTTCCTCCTCTGACACATTTTTCCCCCTCTCCTGTTCCCGTGTAACCAGCCGTTTTGCAGTACAGCAAGAACAATTCTGCAGAGGGTGTAAAAAGGCGGGCTTATATTCACTGTATTCTGCTTCTGTCAACAATTCCTGATAGAGCTCCCATGTTTTGAAAACCCAGTGCAGACTTGGTTACTGTTCTGTTTGGCGTTGGCTCAATCTGCCTCAGTTTGTCAGTTGTTGGTTTGCATACTTGTCTAGGTGCACCCACAAGCAAAGTGAGACAGAAATTTTTAATTAGTCCTGAGCTGCTCTGGAATTCAGTGAGTCTCATTAGTGAGGAGTCCATAGTGCTCCTGTGCCTCTAATCTCACCATTTCTGCTGTTGTCCTGCTGAGGACTCGCTATTAATTTATGTGACATGGTGACACTCGTGGCCAGTTCATTTAAATTTCTTGTACTATTTTCTGAGTGTGGTTAAAATGTTTTTTATTTTATTTTTTAAGAATCACCATTGTTAAACTCCTAATGTGTCCTTTCTCTGTTTAGGTGACCTGGGCAGAGCAACAGGTGGTAAAACAGAGGAAAAAGAGGGATGTTTTTGAAGAGCCTTTAGATCCCAAGTTCAGAGACCAGTGGTACCTGGTAAGTATAAACAAGAGGCCATGGGTTTTTTCCTTTTTCTTTTTCTGTCTGTCTTTGAAAAATAATAAATAAGAATTCTGTGCTGCAGCCTAGTAGAGCTTTTTATCTGTCTAAAGTCAATATAGGTAATTACATTTAGAGCTGTGATATTTCCTCAGGGTCTGAAAATAAACCTGTATGAATCCAATATACTTTTTGTGTGTGTTTTCGGGGAGGGTGCTGTTTGTCTGGCTTGTTTGTAGAACAAGACACTCTAGTGTGACTTTACCTAAAGGACTCAGCTTTAACAATAGCATACTTTCGTACACCGAGCTCCCCTCAGCTCTGAATGACATGTTTCTTGAAATTGATGGTTTACTTTGGTCCATAAACGGCACAGCAACAAAGAGCAAAAAGCGGAGTGAGAGAGGGGTGATTCATCTCGAAGTGCGCTTGTTTTCAGTCGATTGATTTTCACATTCGACTTGAAGAATGCCACTGATACACTGGCCTGTTAAAAGCAGCAGTAACAACTCTGGAGATTTTCTGTTCAGCCTCACTCTTCCTGCAATTACTGTGAGGTTGCTTGAGGCAGAAGATTATTCATGGTGATGCAAAGCACGCTTGTTTCACCACTTGTTCAAAATGTCTTCGCTTTAACGCACTCTGTTCTCCACTGTGCTTGAACATTTAGTGGCACTTTGATAAGTAAATGTGCCAAGTTCACAGCATTTAAGAGTTGAACTGTTTAGTAAAAACCTGTCTGTGATACATGTAGATATGTTTTATGTGAAAGTTGGGGGAGTGCTTTTAGTGTCTTTCGAGGGCTGCAGCTAATGATTCTAATCATTCCTTTTGTCCAGCTAATCCACTGGAGAGCACAGAAGAGGATTATACTTCTGTCTGTTTCAGCCTTGCAGAAATAAAATGAAGAAAATAAGTAAATGGTTGTCATTATGCAAAATGCATTGGGTGGATTTGAATAATATTGGAGATACTCAATTGTCCAAAGAGGTCGTGAGCATCAGTAATGTGCTGCTCTTCTCTCAATGCACTAAATAAGTCTGATTCTCATTAAAACTGAACCAGACTGACCACAGGAGGGTGTGGGTGGGTCTGTTGGCAGGGTTTCCAGCATCTGCTGTTACAATGAATATTTAATAATGCTTATATTTATCAAGGAGGGAAAAAAGTCCGATTAGACTCATTTTTGTACAATTGATAAATCATGGGCAGATCTCATGCTCAGCTCTACATTTGCTCGAAATATTCTAAAATTAAGAGAGATGGGAAAGATTTGGTGAACAATATCCAAAGTGAAACCTTGGGCATGCCTCTCAGATTTATTATTCAGCAAGTGTGTCAGCCACAAAAGACCTTTCCAGTCTGAATCAGCATTGCAGATCGCAGCGTTTACGTTTTAATTTATTTTCCTGTCGATGGTTTAAAGGTGTCAATGGCAGTACAAGCTTGAGGAATAAAAATAATTCTGTCTGGTATACTGCACTCACAAGGGCTTGAAATTTAAGAGGAAAATACAGTAAACGCTACACTAGACACATTATATTTTAATGATGCACTTTAAAAATAAAAAGGGCTTTGAAGTAGTTGAAAGCAAGACGTGGCTTTTGACCAAAGGTCAAGCTGAATGTTGAAAGCCCATCAAAAAGCATACTGAATGATCATTGCTATTTTCCACTTCACTATATCTCTGGCTTACCAGGTATTAATAAAACATGGTTTAAAAAACAAAAACAAAAAAAAACAACTTTGCAAAAAGCTCAGCCTTCACCTAAACATGTTAAATTGCTCTTATTTTATTAATTTGTTTTTATTAAAGGTGTCCTTTTCACATTTGGTTAAAACTGATTGTCATCCCACTGATATTTTTCTCATGGCTAAATTCTGTGTATTTCATTGCTCTCTGCCCCTCAGTACAACAGCAACCGCCATGACTTGAATGCTAAAGTTGCATGGCAGTTGGGCTACACAGGTAAAGGTGTGGTGGTGTCAATCTTGGATGATGGAATCGAGAAGAACCATCCTGACCTGATGCAGAACTATGTGAGTAGCACTTCCTGAGTAGCACCTGCTAAGGTTTTTTTTTTCCCCCCATTCTACTTGTACAATTACAATAGAGGGCTATTCTAAGGATTTTCAAATTAATTCTGCAGTGGTGCCCTGCTTTTATTTTTCTGTAGTAACGTTTCTAACACTTACATGCTTTTTAAGTTCATAAAAATGTCAGTAAACAATCTGTCCTTTCTAAGGACCCGGATGCCAGCTACGATGTGAACGATGGTGATCCAGATCCCCAGCCTCGATACACACAGCTTAATGACAACAGGTAAAACTCTACTCAGATAAGAACTTAATTTACTCTTGGCCTTCCCTGAAACCACCCTCTTGTTCTTCTTTGTCAAGATAAAACTGAACTTGTTTATTAATTTGTCCACCTCCCTGTGTAATAGCTCACAACTGAAATCTAGATAAGTCTGCAGCTGTTTCCCATCCTCTGCTAAGCCTGGAGGCATAAATTCTGAGGGCAGATACAATTAAATGTAAAAGGCTGTAGGTTTTGTTTTATCAAACAGCTTCTTTATTTTTCCCCTCTCTCTCCCTTTTTGGTATTTATGATATTTGATATTTCCGAAAATGTGCCGCTGCCTTCTAAAGTAAACCTTACTCCTGTCATATCCACAACATAAGTCTCTGAATTGATTTGGCCTTTAAAAGTCGAGCGTTTCTTTAGCCCAGATAAATCTGCAGAAGGATTAAGGTAGTGTGCGAAGAAAACTACTTTCTTGCAGTGGCATCTGCAGATGGCATTAGGAGTTGTTTACCATCACAGTGACGTCTTGCAGAGAATTGATTGAATTAAGTTCATCAGCATTAATGAAACAGCAAAGCTCTTAGCTCTGGAGGGTCTCTGCTTGCTTCTCTTCATTCTCAGTGCCTGCCTTCTTTCTGGGTTTAATTTCTGATTTGCTGTAATCTGCTGCTTGTGGGCCACTGGCCTGAGAGGCTTTTTTAACTTGAGGCTCACCATGATTACTGGTGAGAAGATTATACTTGGGCATGGATGAAAACGCAACAGGGCCCTGGAGCAGGCACCATCAGTATGGAGGCCAGAGGGATACAATCAGAGTGGCAGCATGGCCCAAACATATTGAAACTATGCTAATGCTGAATCAGCACCTTAAAGGCTTTGTCGAACATACAGGGGTTTGGGGCTGATTGTAGTAGTTAATTGCTTTCAAATGAAACATAGTTCACCATAATTTAAAGCAGAAGCACAAACAGTTATCAGCAAACGCTTGGAACGGTGAGACAATGCAAACAGTATGTGCCATGCTTTCTGATTTAGCTCAGTTATGTGTTTTTAACAGCGACATCAAGATTTTCTTGTGAAAGAATGTGGAAAAACATCCCTCTGGTGCGGCTCCATATATCCAAAATCTATGCCAAGGCACGCTTAAGCTCTTCTAGCTGCTCGTAGTGGCCCAGAGCCCAGCTAAGACACTTACTATTGATGTTTACTTCATTTTTGGTTGCACCTCTTTCCAACCCTCGCTCACCTCGGCCCTTATCTCCTGCCACCGAGCTCCCTGTGTCTGTCTTATTGCTGGAACAATTGAGTGTGTCTGTGTGTGTCTGTGTCTGCACGATGTGTGTTTGCCTGTTATCCTTGCTCTACTGTGAGGTTGGTGCAGATGCATGTGTAAACAGCCTGTGGGCAGGCATGAAACTGCGTAACGTTGTGTTAAACTGTAAGTGTCTGTTCCCTGCAGAAAGCTCAACTCTGTTCACCTACATAAGGCAGTCTTTCTCTCGCAGCATACAAGCAGCAATAAGGACCATTCACCGTCATGTTTATCTAAAACACCATGTGATCTAGAGGTTTCTTTTTCCAAGGTTTCTCTCAGTTCTATCAGAACGGTTTCCAAATCTGCATTTCTTGATTAATGTTAAACTGACAGTCTACAGGGATACTTAAAAAAATAAATAAATTTGAGCCTGTGAGCTTTTAGTGCTGCTGTAGCACAAAAACCATAGTCATGATTATTTTGCTCAATAGTTGGAATCTCAGTAATTTAGCAGAATTATTCATTAACTTAATAAACATGCAGCAGGGAATTTCCTTGAACTTTATATATAATTCATATGGAAGAAAATTGTGATAGGGGACACAGGGTGTCCAGTTGGCACTCGATCCCAGACTGGTGTGTTTTTGAATAAAAAGCACTGCAACAGCACTGCCTTGCCTTAGGTAGCTGCTACAAACTGGAGCAGACATGTACAGTAGCCACGGGGAGAGTGACTGAGAGCAAAAGCCAATAACTAACTGACACATTGGTTTTCAGTAGTGTGTGACCAACTAGCTGAGAGATCCTTAAATTCTCAGCAGCTACGAGCCTTTCACAGAATCTCCACCACAAATCTTGCTGCTACTATCTTACTGTTTATGACTCAAGCTTAACTAAACTGAATTTAGGCTTTTTGTTGGGTGAAAGTGTGCTTCATGTATGACACAAGTTGATATGAATGCTTTGTTAATAGCCCATCTGTATCCGTACACAGGACTGACTAAACATGTGACCTCAAAAGAATTCACTGCACAGCAATGGATAAAACGTCTGCTAACAGTAACCTTGTGAATACTTTTCCAGACCTTACGTTGATCTCTCAGGACAATTTACCTCACATTCCTTACTTCACTTTCCTCTGCAAACATAAGCAGACACTTTGACCTGTGGGTCTGATTGTTTGTTAACTGGTAAACCATCAATAGACTAAAGAATGAACAGAGAAGGTGGTTGTTCAGAGACCAGCCAGCAAGTATTCCTCGAGTTTGAGGACGACAATATCATGTCTGAGTGAAGCAGTTTAGGTTTTAGACAAAGCTGATTGTTCTGCCAGCTGTGGGTCTGAATACTGATCGTGTGTTGGCCTTGGGCCTGCAGCCAGCTGTAGTTTCTGTAACCCAAGTCAGTCCTTGTGCCTCGAGTCTGCCATAGGGCTTGTTCCTGCTGTAATCGGAACAGAGCTTTGATGAAACTGCTCTTTGTTCACCATCATTTTTTGTTAGAAACAAAGAATCCAGTTATTGAGCAGTGTATCACATACAAAAGGTGTTTCAGCGTTTCTATGGAGAGTGTTTTTTTTATTTTTATTTATTTTTTTAATTTATTTCCAGGAAAAGGGAGATTTTATGGCAGCTCAGCAGAGAATGATAATTAAAGGTCTTTATTTATTTATTTATTTATTTATTTATTTATTTATTTATTTATTTATGAGAACGTTTTCATACTGTAACTGCTAATGATTGTAATTGCTAATTTAAGCAGCATAGCTATAAACCCACCAGTCAAAAAGTAAAGTTGGTAAAGTGGGAGGCATTTAATGACATTAATGTATACAGAAATCAGATTTAATTGTCCACATGATGATGGATAACGGTGCTTTTATTTCTGTTTTCTTTGTACTGTATTCCATATAATAAGGGCTTTCTGACGCACTTGCCAAACTACATCTAACAGAATGGGAAATGTATTTCGGAGGAAGGACACAGAAACAAGGCAAACAAGTTTTGTCCTGTGTAAATGTAGCATGATCAGTTTAAGAAGTGTGTGCAACTGAGAGTTTAGAAGACTGTTTCATATTATCTGGGAGCCTTTCAGTGTCAGGGAATTTATCAGGACGATATTACAGCCGTGATAATTAATCTCTGGGACTTGTTAACAACTGATTGAACACTTCTACCCTTGTCTTGTCAGTCAGCTCTTTGTTCCTGCTGACAATGTCTGAGTGGTTTCTCTGGAGTACTTCATGTGAAGATCTCCAGCACTGTGCTGTCAGCTCTTTAGCCTCCTGCCGGAACCCTGAGCACGAGGTTCAGTCCAGGTTTGCTTTAATGTGATGTCTTCTCAGGAACTCGAAACAGTAGAAATGAGGACAGTCAGTGAGCCAGCATTCATTCCTCCAATCACGTCTCGCTCTCATTATTAGGACTGGAAGCTCCCCGAGGCTAATCTTTGTGAATGATTATGCTGTTGACAGATGAACTCAGAGTCATAGTTTCTAATTAGATATGGAATCAATCTGCATTTGGAGATTTTGGGCAATAAACTATTAAAATCTTTCACCGGGGTTCTATTTGATATTATTATAAAGGCTTCCCTCTTATTCCTTTTTCCCTTTTTCCCCTCTCCTCACCACCATTCATCCAATCTGCTTCACACCCAAGGAAGTGAAGTCTTATTTTGGGCTAAAAGTTGATTTCTGTTATTCTTTCACAAGAAAAACTTTTGATCACGACATCCTCAGTAGGCCACTGTCGATAGGGAGTGTTAGCAGCGTGATCACAACAGCTCATTGAATAGGGCTCAGTCTAAACTGCGAACAGTCATTGAGACAAACTTATTACCACCTGATGTGAAGTTGTTGAGGAATGCTATCTTTAGTAACTATCAGCTGTCCCACCATCTGTTTTATCACCACAGTGGTTATTTAACAGCAAGCAGCTAGTGAAAGTGGAGTTTGGGACCGATTAACTATTGTGGTCCGCTCGATAGGCACAAGCTCTGCAGCTAAAGCTCGCTTCACTTGTGTTTGAGCTTGCATGCAGTGAGAGACACGTATGAACTTATAGCTGTCCTCCTTTCAAAACTCACACAGTATTTATGCGTGAGTTTTTGCACGCTGTACTTCTTATAAACACTCTGGCTGCTTGTTGTTTACTATAGCAGCACACATGCAGGGCAAGTATTAAAGCCTGTGCATATAAAATCAATCTAAATAATGTCATTTCTGGATCGCAGTCAAAGACTAATGCTGTTGGATCATTGCAGGTAAATGTTGAAAACCCAAATCAGCTGTGTATTTGCTGACATATCCCATTTCCCCCCCCCATGATAAATGACTGCAATAACTCAGTTGTGCTGCAAAGTGCACTGGTCCCCCTCTAAACGGGGACAATGTGAACGGACGCTGCACCAGTTTTAGAACACTGTACTGTCTCTGCAGAGAGAGGAGGTTTTGTGGATGTGTTGCCCTCACAACCTAAAAAGCTGATACGGTAGTAAAATTTCATTTGAGTAAGGGAGTAAGCTTCTTAGCCCAATCAGAATTTGCTAGAATTTGGCCCAAAGATGCACCCTTCTCTCTTTCTCTCCCCCCCCTTTTCTACTGACCTTAGCAACGAGTAGGAGGAGCAAAGAGATATCTTTGTGTATCCATTTCATTTCTTACAGGAAAATGATTCCCAAAACCCTGATTACGCAAGTCATTCTTGTATAATCAGGTTCAGAAGCCCAGGGCTCTCTCTGTGAATCATTTGTATCCCATGAACAGCCTAGCATGTAATTGACTTTAATGCATGTATTAGAGGAACACTTCAGGAGGGATAGGCCTGTGCATGCCTGGGATCCCATCGCGGACACCTGAGCTGTTCTTTATCATCAGCTTTCTCATCAAAAACACGGATGCTGTAGGATCTAAGACTCCAAAGTCAACAAACGCACACTGCTGGGATTGCTGTGATAAAGTTCACTGGAAAATCCAGATGACGTGTGCATGCGTGTGTGAGTGTTTAACTTGGTGTCTGTAAAGATGTTTTTTATTATCCAACTGGGCCTCTGCTACCAGCTCAGTGGTAACAGAGGCCTTTAAGAGACGTGGCACTTTTGTTGCCTCTTGCATTGACATTAACCTTTGCCCTCTTATCTATTTAATGCTCATTTAGAACTACTTATGACTTGAGTAGCCGTCTACCCTAGGGCTGTGCGATATGACCAAAATCTCGTATCCCGATATAAAACGTCTATCGTCCTGATAACGATATAAATCACAAAAAATTTAATATTTTCTGTAAATTCTGTGAATCTCGGGTAGGTGAAGTGTTTCCAGCTGTGTGTCATGTACCTGGAGTCCAGTGTTTTAATTGATGCATGAAACTATACTTTTTTTTTTTAGACCTAGGTTGTAAAGGCCGCCGTTTTCTTTGTGAGTATTTATTACACAGCGTGCTGCGGGGAAAGCCTGTTCTAACGTTTGAGTCGAAGGTTTATTTTTTAGCACTTGACAACTCTTTTTTTGCTTCTCATCCGTCAATACTCTGCACACTTTTTCACGTGATTCAGTTTATTTTGAAAATTCTCAACAGGAACTTGAGCTTTATTGTGAAAGGTTTATGTGGAAAATAAACAAGCGGACATGCGACGGTGTTACCCATAGAAACAGGCGCTTGTCTGTCTGTAGTGTGGTTATATTAAATATGAGGAAGAGAGAACTTTAAGAAATTAATATAGCCACTACAGTGACCATCAAAACGATGAAAAAATATTGCCGTAAACAGTTTATTTTGCGACACCACGAAACAAATGATAGCGTAAAATGAAACCATAGTCGTTTTTATATTGTCATCCGATATATATCATTATATCGAACAGCCCTAGTCTACCCTCAGACCATGTTCTGACATCAGATGCAGCCCATTTTATCAGGGAAGGCTGTTCACTGCTGATAGGGTGTTTTGATTATTTGGTTTGTGGTTTGGCAGGTTACCCAGAGTGCCTCAATGAAAGCCTGCTGGCCTAGATAGTTCCTTCAGTAGTGAAGGTCCACTGTATCTGTTGTTTCCTGATGGATCCAGCATTCCTGTCTAGGAATGGCTGCAATCCAATGGGGATTGCGCCATGGTTTAGAGGGCATTAAGAGTGCATGTCCATCTGGCAGGCGATGGGAATGCACTTGACTGGAATATGTTCCCAAGCCCTTCTGTATCTGCTTTTTGTATCTGCCTGCAGCTTTATCTTGCTAGAGAAGTTCAAACTTGATGAAATAGGCGTTTTGATAACAGCAGATGTGATTCTCAGTTTCTTGCCACTAGTGTTATATGGCCATTTATTTTTTTCTTTCACTTGACCGTTTCAGGCTTTAGGCTTCCTAAGGTTTACTTTTTCTACAAGGACATGGTAATGCACAGTGGTTTTCAGTCATAAACATTTTTTTCTTTAATGGTTGAATTCAGATTGTTTAAACAATCAAGGCCAAAGAGTGTGGGTGTGTTTTGTCTCGGTCTGCAGCTTAACCACAATGAAAGATGAAGTTGAGTATTTCACAAGTAACTTTTTGTTAGACAAGTGCACAACCTGCCGTGTGTGTGTTTATATATACAGCAAAATGCTGTCATTAGGCAAGTAACATTAGGATAAGCAGTTTGTCTGACGTTCTCATTCTTTCTTTTAAGGCATGGGACCCGATGCGCAGGAGAAGTGGCGGCAGTTGCCAGCAATGGGATCTGTGGCGTTGGTGTGGCTTACAACGCAAAGATCGGAGGTATGGTGTGGATGATTGATTCAATCTCACAGAGGCAAAACTCAGTTTCATCTCAGGTCTTATTTTTTTCTTCCTTTTTTTTCCTCTGACTGCCAGAATGAGGTGAAATACTTGTTCTGCTGTGCCTGTGTTATTTTCAGCCCATTTCCCAGGCACAGCATGCCACTGAATCTCTTTGAACATCACCACAGTTGTTATGTGGATTGCCAGTGTGTTGTAAGTGTAATGGTTTTGCATGGAGTAGCAGTGCTGAAATGCACTGAAATGACACAATCATATAGCTTTTATTGAATCTCCATTAGCCATAACAGTTTGTATACACGCTACACATAAATAAAAATGGCTTTTATACTTCAGGTGTTCTCTTCAGGCAAACTGTTCAATCCCCGAACCCATAAAATTATTAGTTAAATTATCTCTTTAACATTTTGTGACAGTCCTTAGCCAAGGTCAGTGCCCTGCCTTACATTTTTAAGATTTTTATTGGCCCATTAGTCCAGCTCTCCACATAGATGCTTGAAATTAAGCTTTTTGTGGTGTAATTTTGCTGACAGGCATCAGCGCAATAAATTGCAAACTCTGAATATTTACAGGCACCTTGTTGTGCTGATGGTGTCTCAGAAAAAATGAAGGGACTCCTCAAGGTTTTAACTAATTCAGCATAAATGTGAATCTGCAATCTTTAGTTGGTCAAAGGCAAATCCTGCTTTAGGTTTTTTGTCTTCTGTTTTTTTAAGCCAAGTCCCAGACAGCCAGAAGTCAGATTGCTGTTCTACACGTTTGGCAGGGTCTCGTTGGCACCCTGCTGTAATTTCAGCTCCTGCTGCTTTCAAGTGATGCAACCACAAATTGACTGTGTCACTCTAGCCAAAGAAATGCCATCACCTCGTGTCTGTGTCCATCACTCTGCACATGCAGGCTGTTGCTGGCTTTCATCTTCACTCGTTGTCTTTTTTAATTTAAGAAAGCAAGTCCAATGAAATAAATCCCAAATGCATATTTGTACTTCATTGTTTCTGGTTTGCCTCGTTGTTCTTTGTTTTACAGATATATTTTCCATTTTCATCTACAAGGCAAAATTTATGTGGCAGATTGACCCAAAACAAATCGGTTGATAGAAAACAATTTTCTTAAAGTATTTCTTAAAGTATTTCTCTTATTTCTTTTTATGAAATAAAACAAACCAATTTCCTGGTTGCAGCTTCTCAAAGATTCTTTTCTCACTTTTATCACAAGATAAATATTTCCATCACTTAAAAAGTCATATTTTTATTATTTTAAACCATTTTAGATGTTTGTTTGATCGTTTAATTACCCTATTAACGAGTTTCCTAATAATGAAAACCCTAGTCTCGGTGCTAATGCCTGTGATCATCTTGTTCTCTTGTGTGT